ACATACGGTTGGCTGAGTGACCTTCGCCGAGAGCGCGAAAGTGTTAAGAAGCACATCAACAAACTGGAAAAGGTGCAAAGACATGCTACTCAGTGGCTCCCAGAACTGAAGGGCAAGAGCTACGAAGAGGTTAGAGGCATTAAATATTCCAAAACTGGAAGACAGAAGAAAAAGAGGTGATATGATCACTACATACAAAATAGTAACAGGAATTGATAAAATCGATAGGGAAGATTTCCTGAGACCTGGAACTTTAAGAACAAGAGGTTATAGATATAAACTAGCTAAACACAGATGCCGAAGAAATATAAGAAAATTCACTTTCGCAAACAGAGTGGTAGACGGTTGGAACAAGTTAGGTGAGAAGGTGGTGGAGGCCAAGACCGTCAGTAGTTTCAAAGCGTTATATGACAAAAGAGTGCTGGGAAGACGGGACACCATGAGCATTGCTCTCATCCTGTAACTACACTTAGGTAATTGCACAGGAACAAGGACACGCCACTGTGAAACACGGTACCAATGCACACGTGCAGTAGCAGCAACAGGCACCACCGCAACATGTAAATAGCAACTCGCTTCTGCAAAGGCAGAGAACGGAGCAGGCGGACCCCAAACAGGGCCAACGGAGACAACAGAACCCAGCAGGCCCAGAAACTTGCACACCAGGCGACCGACGGCGGAGAAACCCCGCTCGATACCTGCTGGATGGGGTACTGGGAGCCCTTTTACACCCCAAGCTCGGCCCGAGGCCAGGCTAGACCGGCCAGAGGGAGACCCACCAGACAGATGCTTGGAGCGGCCCGCAGGCCCACATACCCCCACAACCAGGATGGGCCGGAACTTCGATTCGAAAACAGGCTAGTGTGCCCCGGATGTCCATGGACGTACCAGCAATAAGGCGTATGCTCGCAAGTAGGTCGTGTAACAACTGCAGACCTCTGATGGTAATACAGTCTTCCCCAATTGTGCCTATTGCACCACTGCACTCCACTGGTACTATCCCGCAAGTTCTATCAGATAGGCAGGACCCAAGAGCCAGAGCTCAAAACCTTGCAAGCACAGCCAGGAGCCTTACCAGGTGAGTACAGAACCAACACCACAACCCCCACACCTCATAACATGAAAAAAGGTGGGTCCTCTGAAAGACTCTAGCATGGGTAGGACATGCACATGAGTGGGACAGGAAGGGTTGAAAAAGGGACACTCACTGGTGTGCGAATGGTCTCAGTCATACAAAAATATACCTAAATAAAGACAGGTATATAAACAGCACCGCATCCAGCGCCCGGCCAAAAGACGCCAGACCGCAGAAACTCACCTGGCGAACGGTGGGACGAATGTGACACGACTCAACAGTGCCCAGAAGAACCTGGGAGCACCGCCAGAGCCAGACCCGCAGGAGAGCAGGGTAGAGGCGAAGGAGGCGGCCCACACCCATGACACAGGGAAAACCTCGGTGTCCTCCCCACAGCTGGAAACCAGGACACCCCCAGAGCGAAGGGGCACATACTGCAGCAAGGGAGAAGAGCGAGAGGCGAAGCCCTTGAGCGAAAAAGGCGCCAAACACCAGCACTGGAACACACCGCCCAGACCAAAACAAATTTCACGGCGCATGCGCACGACACGCTGGCCGAGCCGCACAACCCTCTCTGCGGGAAGGCGCCAACCAGGACTACTGCACTAGAAAAGTAGCCAAAAGAGGAAACAGGAACAATAGAACCGGCCAACGAAGCAAAGACAGAGCCCAAAAGGGAATGCAACCGGGCCACAAGCAGCCCAACCGGCCCACAAGTAGCCCAACCAGCCCACAAGTAGCCCAACTGGGCCAAAAGTAGCCCAAACCGGGCCACTGGCCACAAGCAGCCCAACCGCAAGTAGCCCAAAACGGCGACAAGGACGAGGAGTCGACAAACGTTCCAATAACGCGGGAAGTAGCGAAAACCTTCCCAAACCCTCAAGAACACAGAAGCCAACACGAGTCCCGAAGGCACACAAAGGCGCAGGCGCACCCGAGACCAGAAGTCACGTAGAACCCCAAGAACGGAGAAACATGACGAAAACACTGTCCCAAAAAAAAGGGTGGGAGGAAACATCCACCCACAGGACGGAACCAACCGACTCAAAGACCAAGGAACCAAGCCCAGGAAGGGGCCGACGCCCAACAGCACGTACGGCGAGTGGGGAGGAAAGACCCCATTCCGCGTAACTACAAGCCCCGCCTAGAGGGGGATAATAACCCCCATGGGGTCCTACAGGGCCAAGGCCCCCCAAGTCAGCCCCTCCCCAGCCCCGGGAACCTACCGGGAACAGGCCCCGGGGCCGAGCCGTCCCCCCAAAGCCCCGGCCGTACCAGAAAACCGGGGCAGCTGCGAAAACACTAAGGAAGGGAACCCACTGGCAGACTCTTACAACACGGCTGGAGGAACAGGCTCAAATGCCCCCATCACTACCCCGGAAGGGGAATTCCCCGAGACTGCCCGAGTCTCAACACCATCAAACCCCACCCCGAACCTACAGACGGTAAGGAACCGGATGCAGGCAGGAAGGGTGATCCAGGATAAAGACAAGGGGGCGTGGATGGAACCGAAGCAACCAACACCCCCAAGTCCCAACACGAACCAAAACGGGGCAGCCCCGGGGCTCCCGGGGAGTAAACCACGAGAGCGTTGCCACCAACAAGGCTCAAAGTGCAACGCCCCTGCTGCCCGCACCCGCATAGTCAGCACAACTGGGTAACCGAGCCACAACGAGCAACCAAACTCACAGGACTCCGGGTCGAAGGTGTCACCGACTCCACAGGCAGCAGACGGAGGCAAAACAGAGTCACCCAGAGACAAAGGGTGAGAGCAACCCTCAAACTCGCTGGAAGCGAGGGGGGGACTCTGGGGTCACATGCATCGGACCCGCGCGCCCCCAGGGGTTTCCCAGGGTCCTGAGCGTTTACTATAAGAGGACTTGCGCTCAGGTAATCCCAGGCAGGGTACTGCTAACCGGCGCCCAAAGCTACCAAACAACTTTCTAAGAGCTGAACCCTCGGGAGGTGTACACTCACGGGGACCTAGCAGGGGGTACAACCAGAAAATACTCAGAACACAAGGGACACAAGGGGCAAGAACGAAGGTAGACCCCCCACCAGGTAGAAAAACAAAAAGAAAAAGAAAACCCCGCAAGAGGACAGCGTACCCAAGCGGAACAGAGCCGGCCGCCAAGATTGGTAAAGGCAAGCTGCACAGTACCCTGCGCCCCACCAGTGCAAAACTGCCCCTTACTCTAAGGCGAACAAGGGAGACAGAACACCCGAGCACACAAAGAACGGCCGAAAACCAAGCAGTAAACGGCCTAGCAGGGGTAGGACCCAAGGAACTTGTGGAAGGTGGCCCCAAGCCCCAAGGGCAGTACTTACAGGGCACCTAGGGAAGGGAACCCTAGGCGCATGCAGCCCGAGTACTGGAGAATCATTCCCGGCTCACGCACCACCTAGAAAACAGACACCACACTCTAGGTACAGTGCTGAAACAACCACTGGAGTCGGAGCACATAACCGGTGCCTATAGCATCAGCCGAAGAACTGATGGGTGGATAGCCGGCGTGGGAGGTCTGGGTCTCCCCATTCCCCCTCCCGGGAAGGGGGGGGAGCTGCGCAGACAGAGGCGCGGTGACGTATGACGTCATACTAGTTTGCTTGTTTTCTGTCGAGGAGTTCTGTCCACTAGTTCGGCTTTAGGTAGCAATTTTCACCAGAATAGGGGTTTGTTTTGGAATGCTTACCTTTCTGGATGCTTGACCCGGTCAATGGCAGACATAGAATGCTTCCAACCACACGGGGGTTTCTATGGGCCATTGCTCCCCTTGCCTCTCTGAGGGGGCCAGGTTCTGGCCGTGGTCCCCGGTAGGCCTTAGAACTCCATACACATTACTGATGCCAAAGTCTGACATTAGCATATCAGCCTGGTAAAGCTCCGGGGAGCCGACGGGGCTCCCCAAAGAAAAGAAGGAAAATAGAGATTGAAATCTGTGAAAAAATCAGCCAAAAAAAATTCAGTCCCAATTTCTGAGAATTGTAACTGATTTATTTGTTGACCAATTTAATTCTGGCTTCACATAGTTAGGGAAGAGTATGCATTCTCCAGGGTGTAAAGGTTAAAACAAATTCAAATAATAAACAGAGGAAAAAACTAAAAATCTAAAAAAAAAAAAAAAATTTCCCCTAAAAAAAGTATTTTTTGGACATTGTTGAAAGTAACTGATAACAACATTGGGCAATGTATTTATATGATATATAGCAAAATAGAGCATAACAACATAATTACTCATTATTTGTGTTATTATGTATTACTCACCAATGCTATAAGGTACCAGCTGTATATCCACTGTGTGGACACTTCTTACTACTAGTCTTCTTTATGCATTGGACAGGTGCTTGCATCTCTCTATTATTGCATTTTCCATCAGTTCCAGTTAATAGGAGCTGTTCTCTTTACAAACAATTTTTTTTTTGTTTTAAATATTTGTCTAAAATCAATTTCTGAACATATGTTGATGAAAGTTTCACAAAGCTGAAGCCAATAAGTTGGAGATTTGCTTAACATTTCAAGTACTTTTTACGTAATTCAAATATTTTTTTAATTATATCCCTTTCAATGTCACACATCATATGCCGTTTTGGGGTTAACCCAGTCACTACCGTGATGATAGTGAAACATAGTAAACTACGACTGTTGTCTCTTAAATAAAGCTACTGAATTTAAATACATGTATAGCACTGAAAAATAATTGCAAAACACTTATCTAACTTGTCTAATTGTGTAGACCATTATACAATAAAAATATAGCTTAAATTAATTCCATATAAGGACAAACAGATTTTTATTACATTATTCTTCATATTTAATGTTAACTACTATTTATTAATAATAGTTAACTGTTATTTATCTATGATATAATCCTTTAAATAAATCTTGAAAAACTGTTCATAACATTTTTAAATAAGCAATGCTTACGTATAAATTCCTTCATTTGGGGATCCAGTGTGGTAATCATAGTATCCATCGAGGTCTTTGCTTTTTCTGCCACGCGGTGACCCACACTCGATACAGTGCCACGAATCCAGCCAAACCAACCCTTTCCTTCAGGTTTTTCCAGTGATCCACCTACCCCAGGTGAGCCAAGGTCAATAGAAGCAGAAGCATCTACACTACCTTCACTGTATGGGGAATAACCATAGCTGTAGCCAACACTGTTACCTATAATATTTACATGTGCACCATCACTAGCATAAGGTTCTCCAGAGTGCCAACTTGATTCTATAGGTGATTCATCTTCTAGGTAAGTACATAGGTGATTATGAGATTTACTAAGAGAGGTATAAGGTGCTTGCTCTTGATGTACAGTTAAGTATGGTGGTGTTGGAAGAGAGGGTGGATTATGCAGTGGATTACCAGGAACATAAAGTGGGTAGCTGTGGTGACGAGAGTGTCCTTTTGGAATCACTGGCATCAAGCTCTGCTGCTTCCAGTGCATCTGACTTTCACTAAATATTTGAGAAACAGTAATAATAGTTAATGTAAAATATTCAAAATGATTTAAACTCTATTCATACTTAAATATTACCCATTACTCTGCAGCTACTTGTCTATTTTTTTTGGTTAAGATGTGACACAGTAGTTACAGTATTGCACCAATAAATGCAAAGAATGGGAAATTAATGATGGGTCCCCAGTAGCTTCCCTAGATTGTACACTAGGTAACCAACCCCTAAATCCCAACACTAGGATCTAAGGTTCAGCCCTTGAAATGCATGACTGGTAGGAGGTAATGGTATCCAGACTAAGATGATGTACCTCAAACAATCATGACAAACATGACATGGCTGGAACAGACACAGACAAGGTCTGATAAAATCCTAGAACCTAGGAAAAAGCACCAGGCCTCTTCATACTGACACTAAGGATGCCTAGAGATGGAAAATAAGCCTCTGATACTCACCACCCATACAGATGATGGTAAGACCTTAACAATATTATCAGTGAAGATTGGTAGAGAAATGTAAACCATTCTTGAACATGCTACCACTAAGTGACAGGAAAGGCATACCCTTGGGCACATCTGAAGGATACAATGGAGTAAAGGAGCTGCTGCTTTTATCAAATACTCTGTGTGGGCAACCACCTCCTAAAAGACCACCATCTGAGAATGAAGTTTGGTCAAAACAGAAGTCCAGTGCAAACAAATGGAACAGACATAAGGGTGGAAGGAGTCCTTTATTTGACAGGCTGAATGACAATGAGTATTGGTGGCTGGGCTTCCGATACTGGGCCACACCAATGCTGGGACAGCCACCAAGGAACCAGAAGGATCACCCTCCCTAAGTATGACTCCAGACTGGAACAACACCCGGAGCAACAATTGAAAGGGTGAAAACATGTAAATGAGGCCAAACCTCGCCCAGTCCAATTGAAAGCCATCCACAGTGAGTCTCTCGTGATTGGGGAAATGGAGTCATGTAGGAAGGAGGGTGGTGGTTTCCCCCAAAAATAAAATAATAATAAAACAATAAATGGAGTGGCGTCCACATAAATTATGAAGAGCTCATCATGGAACTTTTTAGTAAATATTTGATTACAGTATTTTTTATACACACAATATGGTGCACAGAATTCAAATTGCAGTAATGAACACACGAGACATCTGGCACAAACACAAACTTCATGCAAAGAGGGCATACCAAGATTATTAAGTTCACCAATTAATATAAAATAACTCACCTAACTGGAGGCGGAGTGTGACTTGTCAATGAATGTGTTGAATTTCTTGATGGAAGAGATGTTTGTGCAGCACCAGAACCAACAGGAGTTTGATCCACTGGATGACTCTGTGATGGTACAACAGAGGGAAGAGTTGCAGATGGTGGTGGTGGAGGAGACTGACCACCTGGAGAAGTGAGTGGGGGAAAGGGAGGAAGTCCTGGTGATGGGACAGGAGCACCAATGGAGGGTCCACTACCTGGTGTACCTGCAAGACTGACAGGCACTGGCCCTGGTGATGTGAAACTGGGACCTGATGGGGGTGTTGGAGCCATCATATGTGGAGGGGGTGGGGCTCTATTTGATGGATAAGGCGATGCTATAAACGACGGAAGAGCAGACGGAGGTGCAACACTTGTCAGAACAGAACTGCTGCTTGAGGAAGTATCTGAAAAAATTTAATAATGAATATGATAATTATCTGAATGTGAAACATTTTATTAAACAAGACCTAACACATTAATATCCTTCCATTTTGAATTACCTGCCATCTCAACGCCCTGGGAAATACAACACTGAGCTTCAAGGCATACAATACACAAGTAATAATACAAAAAATATTAATATTAACTTCATTAGATCCTAGATAATAGAGAAAACGCAAAAATACAGTACCCGAGATGCTGTAACTTGCCTTGTTAGATATAAGAATTTTATTACCAAAGAACACAAAGCAATTTAAATAACATTTCATCAGATCTATTATTAATAGAATGACCAAACTACACATTAGAAAATTAAGAAATGACAATGGTTCGGTCCATCCTGGACCACTATTAACCCTTAAACCGCGCATATTGGGGGCCTGGAAGTGAAAAATATTTGAATTATGTAAAAATAATTTAAAAATGTTAAACAAATCTCCAACTCATTGGCTTCAGCATCGTGAAACTTTCATCAAAATATTTTCAGAAATTGATTTTAGACAATTTTTAAAAAAACCAGCGTTGAATGAAATGAAACGCCATTTTCTGGGCGAGTCCCGGAGGCTCCCCGGAGCTATCCCAGGCTGATATGCTAATGTCAGACTTTGGCATCAGTCATGTGTATGGAGTTCTTAGGCCTACCGGGGACCACGGCCAGAACCGGGCCCCCTCAGAGAGGCAAGGGGAGCAATGGCCTATAGAAGCCCCCGTGTTAGTGGAAGCATTCTATGTCTGCCATCGACCGGAACAGGCACCCAGAAAGGTAAGCGCCCCAAAACAAACCCCTATTCTGGTTAAAATTGCTACCTAAAACCGAACTAGTGGATAGAACTCCCCAACCGAAAACAAGCAAACTAGTGTGACGTCACACACTGCCGCGCCGCTGTCTGCGCAGCTCCCCCCTCCCCGGGAGGGGGAAGGGGGAGCCCCAGACCCCCCGCGCCGGCTACCCACACCTCAGTTCTTGAGGCTGGATGTCAAAAACGCGAAAAACCGCCGACCGGAGGGAGGGAGGGATGCCGGGGAGCCTCCGGGACTCACCCAGAAAATGGCGTTTCATTACATTCAACGCTGGTTTTCTGGGGGGAGCCCCGTCGGCTCCCCGGAGCTAACTACCCACAGACAGAAAAAGAGGGACTTACCCGGGAGGCGGTCGTCGCTCACCCCTCAACTCGAAGCCGAGACAACTGGCTGCAACCGCCGATCACAAAACATGATGCACCCCCGGCCAGACCAACCAAGCATCAACCACCCATGGACCCCTCCGGAACGCAGCAGTCTCATTCTTCGCCAGAAAAGAAGGAGACGGCTGCAAACGAACAAAACTATCACCACGACCAAAAGAGCAGAAACCCCTGCGCCGGAGGAGAGCATGAAGCTCCCCTACCCGACCCCCAGAGGCCAAAGCCAACAAGTGCCTTGGAAAAACAATCCTGGACCGAAGGGGCCACAACGAAACGAGGAGATGAAAGGAAAGCGAGCACTCTGTCCAAAGACCAGGACGGCTCAGGCGACGCATGAGCAGGCCGGAGGTGAAACAATGCACGAGACAGCTTGCGAAACGGCGCAGACGTAACATCGATACCGAAAGCAAGCTGAAGCGGCTCCGCCAGCGCCGCACGATACGAAGCGACAGTGTTAGGCATAAGATGACGGTCCTGAAACAACCACGAGAGGAAGGACAAGACCACCCGAACAGACAAGGAGCTAACACGACGAAGACGCAAAAAGAAACGGAAGGACCGCCAGGAAAACTGCATACTGCCGCCGAGAAGAAGCCCTCAGGTGGGACACCAACAAGGAGGCCACCTGATCACCATAGAGATGATAGACTCGAGTCAAAAAAACCATACGCGAAGACTCGAGGAGAAGATCGAACCAGCTACGTGACGTACCGGCCCGATCTGCAGAAAGAGGCGGAGCCGCGGGAAAAACCCTCGGGTTCGGACACCGAGCAACCAGCGCCTGAAACCAAGGCTGGGCCGGCCACCAAGGGGCCAGAAGGACAACTCTCCCCCGGTAAGTCTAAGCGAGTCAGGACCTGGAGCAACAGCCGAACCGGGGGAAAGAGATACAGGAAATACAAGCTGAGCAGCACAGTGCAGTAGCGAAACCGGAGCCAGAGCACACGACCATCGCCTATAGCATCAGCCTCAAGAACTGAGGTGTGGGTAGCCGGCGCGGGGGGTCTGGGGCTCCCCCTTCCCCCTCCCGGGGAGGGGGGAGCTGCGCAGACAGCGGCGCGGCAGTGTGTGACGTCACACTAGTTTGCTTGTTTTCGGTTGGGGAGTTCTATCCACTAGTTCGGTTTTAGGTAGCAATTTTAACCAGAATAGGGGTTTGTTTTGGGGCGCTTACCTTTCTGGGTGCCTGTTCCGGTCGATGGCAGACATAGAATGCTTCCACTAACACGGGGGCTTCTATAGGCCATTGCTCCCCTTGCCTCTCTGAGGGGGCCCGGTTCTGGCCGTGGTCCCCGGTAGGCCTAAGAACTCCATACACATGACTGATGCCAAAGTCTGACATTAGCATATCAGCCTGGGATAGCTCCGGGGAGCCGACGGGGCTCCCCCCAGAAAATAAGAACGTTTTGTTGATAAGAAGAACAGCTCCTATTAACTGGAACTGAGAGATAATGAAGTAATAAAGAGATGCAAGCACCTGTCCGATGCTCGAAGAAGAAGAATAGTAGTAAGAAGTGCCCACAAAGTGGATATGCAGCGGGTGCCTTTATAGCATTGCTAAGTAATACATAATAACACAAATAATAATGAGTAACTGTTATTATGCTCTACTTTGTTATATATCATATAAATACATTGTCCAATGTTATATTTTAAACTATTTTCTTTGTCTCTTTAGGTTGTTTTGATGATTAGGGACCAGATTAGGGCTTTTTCACTTTATAAAGTACAGTATACCCTAAATACATCTCCTAAATCATTTTTAATTATTATAATTATTCTTATATTTTTTTTGTGGGGCAGGGGTGGTTATTTCTTAACCAGAGAGACACGAGGAGCAATGGCCTATAGAGACCCCCCCTGTGGTTGGTAGCATTCTGTATCTGCCATTAACCGGGACAGGCACCCAGAAAGGTAGGCGTAAAACTATTGCGACCGAAGGCCGAACATGTGGACAGAACTTCCCAAACAAAAATTAGCAAACTAGCATGACATCATTATGTCCCCACTCTGCTGTCTGCGCAATCCCCCCCCCCCCCTCCCAGGGAGGGGGAATGGGGAGCCCAAGACCCACCCGCCGGCGACCCAACCTTCAGTTCTTAGGCTGGATGTCAAGAAACGCCGACCGGAGGGAAGGAGGGATGCCGGGGAGCCTCCAGGACTCGCCCAGAAAATGGTGTTTCATTACATTCAACGCTGGTTTTCTGGGGGAGCCCCGTCGGCTTCCCGGAGCTACTTCACCACAGATAAGGAAAAGAGGGAAGGATTAAGGAGGCAGACACCACGTGCCCTAACAAAAACAAGACCATAGATGAAACGAAAGGACCCCTCAGATGACCCGAACCCCCGAACAGGAAGGAGGGAAGGAAGGGAACACGGCAAACCAAAATGCGTCCACGGCCCCAGAGGCCAAGACGTGCAGAAAACAGCGAAGAGCCGCAACCGAACAACAAGGATGCACCCCCGGCCTGACCAACCAAGCAGCAACCCAAGGACCCCTCCGGAAAGCAGCAGACCCAAACATCACCCGAAAAGGAGACTGCATCAAACGAACAACCTACCACAAGGCCCAAACGAGGCAGAAAAAACAAATGCGCCGGAGGAGAGCCGAAACTCCCCAACCTGACCCCTAGAGGTCAACACCAACAGAAAGAGACCTGAAAAAAAAAGCACCAGAACCGAAGGGGTCACAACAAACCGAGGAAAAGAAAATAGACCACCCGAGCCAAAGACCAGGACGGCACCGGAAGCACAAGAGCAGGCCGGAGGTGAAACAACGCACAAGACAGCAAGTGGAACGGGGCAGAAGGAACAGCAACACCGAACTCAAGCTGGAACGACACCGCCAGCGCCACCCAAGACGAGGCGACAGTACACGGCACCAGACGATGGTCCTGGAACAACCCCGCAGGGAAAGACAAGACAACCCTATCAGAGACTGAAGAACCTTTTGCAGCGATAGGAAAACCAGAAGGATCGCCAGGAAAACAACACACTGCCGCCGAGATGAAGCACGCAGGTGGGAGACCAACAACGAAGCCACCAGTGCCCACACAAGCAACAAAAACTCGAGACAAAAACCCAGGCACGAAGACTCGAGGTGAAGAACAAACCAGCCCCTGCGGATCAGTCCAGAACCATGTCTGGACTGATCCACAAAAAGACGCAGAGCCGTGGGAAGCCCCTCAGGATCGGAAAAAAAGGAAGGCAGTGCCCCCAACCAAGGCTGGCATAAACCAGAAGGAATGGCTGCCAGGGAACCGGGAACCCAATCCCGGTAAGCCGAAAAGGAACCAACCCGGGCGAGTATAAACGCCCCGAGTGGGAGGAATCCCCAGGACCCCTGAAGGACCAACGAGACCAAACACTGAAGAGCCAGGGGCCCAAGCAGAGGCCAACGAGGAAAACGAGCACCATGAACTAATGCGCGAGACACGAAGCGAAAAACAGCGAACTGGCAACCCAAAGGAGCAGCGCAACCAGCTCCAGCAGGGAAGAACAACGCACATATCTCCGAGGTATACATGAGGAGAACTACGCAGGACGTGAACCGCAGGAAAACAAAAACGCACGTTCTGGAAAAGGAACAAAGAAAAGTCGGAGCCAGGACAGGAATTCTAGCTACCTATCCCAAGAAAAGGAACTAGTAGGGCAGGAGCGGTTGACCGGAAGTCCACAACCTCCCGCAGATATTGCAACACAGAAGCTTGCAGTGAGATACAAGGAAAAAGTGAAAGAACTCGGTACCAAACTGGACACCGGGGCAGTCCAAAATCAGG